TACTAACGTGTCAATATGAGAGGTCCCGAATATACAGTAATGCGCAGTAAACTGCTCGTTAGGTTTTCGGAGGAACAAGAGACTGCTCATTGTGTCACGATAAATGTGGTGCTCTAACATAATAATCTCTAGTCGCTTAAGATGAAAGAAAAAACCGACAAGAATTATTAACTTATTAACACCACCATTCATTAAGAAGTGTTTCTTGAATAAAAACGATTTGAAGAGGCCCTTTCCAAAAAAAGTGACACCTTGTATTTGGGCAGAAACATAACAGATGTTTCGCATGAAAGTATTGCCTCTATGCTCAGAGTCGAAAAGTAAGTCAAGCAAGAAATTTATCTTTCGCTTGTCTTAATCTTTGACACTGAAGATGCAGGCAGTACTTTCCATTGAAACGTCGGCAAACTTCTACCAGACTACATGGTGTCACTTCCCAACTTATAGTAGTCCCCGCTATAAAAATATCAAATCTGGCACAAATGATTTATATTTCTAAAATATTTTCAATTTATTCGAGAATTACCCTAACTTCAAGACTATGTGTATGTAGGTCTGTCAATTCAGCAATGTTTCATTTAATGATGCATGTAAGACATGGAGACTGGGGGTGTTTCAGAAAGGGGTGTTGAGAATATTTGGACCGAAGAGAGATGAAGTGACAGGAGACTGGAGAAAACTGCATAATGAGGAGCTTCAGAACTTGTACTCTTCTCCAAGTATAATTAGAACGATCAAGTCAAGGAGGATGAGGTGGACAGGGCATGTAGCACGAATGGGGGAGACAAGGAATGCGTATAGGATATTGGTGGGAAAGCCAGAATGAAAGAGGCCACTGGGAAGACCGAGGCGTAGGTGTGTGGACAATATTAAAATGGATCTTAGAGAGATAGGATGGGATGTTATGGAGGACTGTTCTGGCTCAGGATATGGACCAGTGTAGGGCTCTTGTGAACACGGTAATGAACCTTCTGGTTCCATAAAATACTGGGATGTAAGACATGGAGTGGTGGTCCACTAATATTGTGAGAAGGCTAATGTAGGAAGCATTTGCTGAGTGCTGCCGCTATGTATCCACCAGAATAACAGAGGAGTTTCTACTCTATGCAGTCTGAGCTACACTAAAGCGTTTTTAAATAAATGATAAACAAATAACACGAAAAGTCACAAGGATCATATATTGGTCAAGTTAAGTCCCAAAGTTCCTTACATGCCCCGTCACTGAAGTTCCATACCGGAATGTTGTTCAAAACTGAATGCAATCACCTCTCCTTCTCCTTTCAAGAATATTGTGTTGCGGCAAATATTTTTTTTTTTCACGACTGTAGCCGTAACTGCATATTTTTGTCCATGATTTATTCTGACCGTCTTACAGTGCATACATTTATTCACCTTACTCTTCTCTCTTGCACTACATGTTTCGGCACTAAAGNAGAAGAAGATAGGTGTGACTCGCGTACTGAAATACGACATAAGGATGACAAATCCTGAACAGTTTTAACATTTTTAATATTTAAAATTTAGCAATATATATGACGAATATATATTTTAGTTATTTTAGTATAAAGACAACAGGGCATGCAATGCAGTAGTTCGACGTACATCGAAAAGCACCTGAAGATGGCACTTTAGTGCCGAAACATGTAGTGCAAGAGAGAAGAGTAAGGTGAATAAATGTATGCACTGTAAGACGGTCAGAATAAATCATGGACATAAATCAGTGCAACAGGACGCTAAAATATAACATGCATATTTTTTCTTCAAGAATAAACAACACTTACTACCTTTATCATGGAAAATGTTATTGCAAGTCTCTTGTTCATGAATGCACCTACAAAAATTGTTACTTTCTTCTCAGATACCTAGAGGAATCGAGGAGAACTACACCGTGCAGTTTTTGTATAAAGTACTTCTGGCTAGGTCTTAGCCTTAATACAGAAACACGTAATGGGACACTTGCCCCTGTATTTGTGCTGCAGGTAAAATCTATTACGTTTCTCATTGGCAAATGCATCGTATCATGTAAGGAGGAAGCATACCTCTGACAAAGCTAGTTATGCTTCCTGCACATCTGACGACTTTAATGCTTTGCTGCAAGGTGCGTGCAGACAACGCTTGCAGTTCTGGTAGCCGTAACAAGTGGAGCAGGGCGCAGCGAAACAGAGGCTGACTTCAGGTGACGGTGTTATGACAAGTGTCTCCGAGTAGAACAGCCGAAGATAACGTAAGCTCAGGACACATAAGAACATTTGTACGGTGAATGCTGTGCTCTTAGCTCGTTATCATTATTTCAACACTGTTAGCCGTCGCCATGTCAGAGTTTCTTTCCTCAATGGCTCTTCCAACCCATTCAGGGCCAAGGCCTCGTATTCATTTCCGTAATCATTTCTCACAGACGGTATGACTCCTTGGACGAGTGATCAGCCTGTCACAAAGCCGCTACCTAAGCAAAGAAACACACAAAAACGGAATAAACGCATACACACAACAAACAAACATGCCTTGAGCGGGATTCGAACCACGATCCCGGCGTCCGAGCGTGCGAAGACAGTTTCTGACTTAGACCGCGCTAATCCAGAGAAAAGGGTTAACAGGAAGACTTAATAATAAAAGTCTCAAACGAACTGAAGAGACACGGCGAGAAAAGAAGTCCAGTATTTTAAGTTGGTGGTGATGGTTTTATGTTATTAGAGTAGCAGAGAACATTTCCCATGTGTCTCGCGCATGCGTACAGCTATGACACGGAAGGGGCACTTCTTCAGGCCGGTTGGGTCTATTTTACGTCGTAAGTCACTGCGGACTAGAAGATAGTTAAAAACTGACTTTTACCAATTGTCCGCATTTACTGAATGTGCCTCTCACATATACCTATTCTCTATATATAAACGGTATACATACATCTCACAGTGCATAACAATTGCATAATTAAAACTGATTGGGACAAGATATCCTTAACCTGGTTGTTGTCCTCATGGCATGCGCTGAACGGAAAATGGAGTGGCAGAAACGGATTCTCGTACGAACTTGTAAATACAGTTAAGTATATAGTCTACAGTAAGTTCATGCATTAAGCTCGCAATATTTTAATTTATCCTAAAATCTGGATTTATTTTGCGGTTGGATTGGACACCGCGTTGTCAACATTAAGTATGAAATATTGTATCTGAATATGACTGTGCTTTGGACCGAATTTTTGCCTGCCAAGGCAACTGAGGCGCAACAACATAAAGGGATTAATTTACAGTACTTTCTTACATGAAAATACTGTCTCATTATTTATATTGCATAATCCATTAAATTGTTGCGATCAATAAGTAAGTCTTTATAACATACGATATCCGTGATCGAGAATGAAGGTTTATTACCACGTCCACAAGAACCGCCCACTGGACGCGTGAGTAATGCTCGTACACATAGCTATGCTGCAAGAATGCTTCAACTTCGACCTGACTAGCATTCAAATGTTAGCGTGCTGCCTACAATACTTACAGAGGATGAACAAAATAATGGAAATACTAAGAAACAGAGGAATATAATTTGTGTTGCTTACATGGAAAGAACTTCAGTTAGGAGTGCCGAATATTCTTCCGTGTGAAAGAATTGTAAAAAGGGAGACTTGTCCGATTTTGAAAGAGGACAGATGATGGGTGCGTGTTTAGCTTCAACATCTGTGACAAAAAAACTTTCATATTATTGAATGTATCGAGAGTGACAGTTTCTAAGGTTATGTCGGCATACACATGTCATGGGAAGACAACATCAGAGAAAAGTCAATCCCAAGAAGGATTGGAGTTGTATTGAAAGCAAAGGTGTTGCAACACTACATTAATAAAGAATGTACGTAGGTAAGGCAATAAGTAAGTTACAAATGGATATAGAACTTAAAACAAATAAGAGTACTGATTTGAAAAATGCTTTTATTTCTCAGCATAATCTCCCTGTACATTGAGGCACTTGTCCCATCGTTTCACAAGCCCCTGAAAACCAGCAGCATAAAACACTTCGGGCCACTATCGGAACCAGGCGGTGACTGGGATCATGAAGGCATACTGCTCACCGCATTCCAGCCTCAAGGACAAACCGTAAATGCCGACTCCTACTGTAACATCCTCAGGGAACTTCGTAAGGCCATTCAATGGAAGCGACAAGGACTCCTCACGAAAGGCGTGTTGCTCCTGCATGACAACGCGCGTCCCCATACTGCCAACAAGACAAATGAAACGCTGCGAAATTTCGAGTGGGAAGTCCTCGAGCATCCTCCATATAGCCCCGACTTTGCTCCAGGCGACTTCCATTTGTTCGGCCCTCTTAAACATCATCTTTTGGCTGGACATTTTCCCGACAATGAAGCTGTAGAAAGGGAAGTCACCGCCTGGTTCCGACAGCAGCCCAAAATTTTGATGCTGCTGGTTTTCTGGGGATTGTGAAGCGATGGGACAAGTGCCTCAATGTACAGGGAGATTATGTTGAGAAATAAATGCATTTTTCAAATCAGTACTCTTATTTGTTTAAGTTCTGTATCCGTTTGTAACTTACTTATTGACTTATTGACAATATCTGCAGTATTTGTATTATTTTGTCCCACCCTTGCATCAAAATATTTTAATGCTAACACCTTACTGAATTCCGCTCACAAACAATACGTTTATCTGCACAAAAATTTGAAGTTTCATGTCAGTGAGAATTCATAATAGGTTGCGTTCTGGGTTCTAACGCCGTGTAGCCTTTTATGTGGTTAGGAATACTTCTGAAGAAACTGCTGTCTTTATTTTCAATTCTTCCCTGAAGACGGAGGAAGCAAATTCTTTCGTAACATTGGTAATCAATCAACCCAGAAGACGAAAATATTACTGTGTTTCTGCATCATTATTCCAGTAACGTATGCACGAACAGTGAAACTTAGCAGGCTAGTGCACGCGCGAGAGGAACGCACTGACAAGTATTGTCATGACGCAACAGTCACCAGCACTTTACCTAATCTGAAGTACACGTGTACTTACCTCGGGAACGCAAGTCTGAGATCTGCCTTGAGTTTGCCCAGTAGCTCGGTGACACTGGAGAACTGTCTGAGGCTCATCTCCTCGCCCTGGGGTGTGGTGGGTGTGAGGATGGGGTTCCGGTAGTCCTTGTTGCTGTGTCCAGGAGATGCCTGATGGATGTGTTGTGCGTTAAGGGTAGGTAAGTTTTTGCTCTTGTGTGCCACGTCGGGAGATTCCGCCTCTACGGGGGAGCCGGGACCATAAAGTTGGGCTCCGCCACCTGACCGGCGCCCCCATTTGCGCAAAGACACGGCGTAATCCTCGGGGTTATACACGGGGGGCCGCTGTTGTTCCTGGAACAGGAAACAGTTGTCTGGTGAAATGCAGAGGGCAGCCAAAGGAACGTAACAATTTATGGGCAGAACCGTTGCGTCTGTTGATTGACTGATTGATTCTTGGCAATTAATCGACGCTTGTACGTCTGAATATACTCGTATTATACAGACTCCTATATTAAAATGAATATGAATAATCAGTTTGAAACGGCATGGAAGGAAGCACCCGTGATTCACCTCAAGGGGTTCTTCTATCATTTGCCTGGGATGTTTCGTGGGTTTTTAAAGATGATTTCTCAAATAATTGTGTATATGTACTTAATGATGGGTTTTGTTAGCGTCAGTTGCCCGAAGTAACAGAGTAAAGTTACGATAAACCTCAATCACGATAATCAGAACACCGAGACGAGATTCGAACCCGGAACCACAACAATAATAAACCATTCAACATATGTCACATCCAACATATTTTTCACGTACAAATCTCAGAACTGAGGAAGATTAAAATTGTTTTGTCACGTAAGAATACTTAATGCAATGATCAGCTTGGAAAGCAATTGATATATTCGGAATTCAACCTTAAATCGTTATATGTTATAGTGGTTACTACAAGCCGATACAAAACGTTATTTTTTTCTCATGCAACTTCTGATTAACGAACACTACACGTAATCGGAATTCGTTCAGAAGTTTCGGAAATAAAACATGTAAAACATTGTAAGATTTGAGGCTTTCACGGCGGTGACTATGAAGAAAGTCTGCTTTTACCGGTTCTCACGGTCTCTTCGCTTGCAGATTTCTTATATTTTTTCTTCTACCCTGAGGATGGAGGCGATACGTTCCTCCGAAACGTCGGTTAACATCGCATAGACACGGTGCCAAATCCCAGAAGACTGCTTTCTTCATGTAAAACATTACTTCCCAATTATGCGATTATACTCGTCTTATGCACTTCTTGCACATAATACCCCAAAATATCACTTAACTATATCATATCATATGCTGAGTTTGAACTGGTGTGTCTCCTAACGAGGTACAACTTTGCCTACGCCACGATCAGCATACAGCCTTGAGGAAGTGTTGTTAAGGATGCTGGCTCTATTAAGTAATGGATATTAGTTGCTTGACCTGATGTGTATAAGTAGATCACAGTTTCGAAAGCTGACGCCGTTACCTTCAGAGGCTGCAGTTTTGCTCCTGGTGATGATCTAGAAACACCGCACTAGTAAGAATCCTGTTCGTCCACTCGTGCCTAAGGGCTAGACATGCAGTTCCTCGAGCCATTGTTATGGTCGTCATACTTTGAAATGTGAATCGTTGCTCGCCTTACGAAACTACAGCCATAATACATTTTGGAAGGGAAGCAAATGTGTAGAAGAAAAAGGTAAATCTATCCCTGTAGCAGGCCATCGAGGCCCGTAGGGTTTTGAGACGTCGAAACTCCCGCATTTTCTAAATATCCGGTTCAACGGCGGCGGTAAGGTTGTCAGCCTAACGCGCCGGCCATCTTTTACCTCAAAGAAGATCCCTCGTACTCATTTCTGTTGAGTCGCTGAGTGGACACCAGGGTCATATTGCGGCTGGAAAAATTAGGTATGTTGAAAAGTGCACTGACTTCATCGGGACCCAAACCCGCCACCTTCCGGCTTGCAGCACAGTGCCTCAACCAACTATGCTACGGCATGCCCCAGTAAATGAAGCGTATAAAATTAAACTGTAATGCAGAAATCTGTAGGGCGCATGTGCCTCTGTACATTTCATGTTGGAAGCACCTAAACGGATTTTGATTAAATTTGACACACGAAATCTAAACATAGATAAAACAATGGATTACTTTATTCTCTCTGCTGTCTAATTGTACCGCAGAATGTGCAAGAGAGAAGAACAAAACAATCAGGATAATTTGGAAGTGAAAAGCCTAAATCAAATATCTGTTTGTATTGATATCAGTATACATAATATATTCCGGTCACGGTAGCCAAGCGGTCTAAGGCATGTACTATCTTCGCTCGCTTGGAAAATGGGATCATGGGTTCGAATCCTACTCAGGGCATGAATTTTATTTTGTGTGTGTGCGTTTTTCTGTGTTTGTGTACAGGTATAAGTCTTGCGACAAGCTGATCACCCGCCCAAGGAGTCCTACCGAATGTGAAAGATCTAGAAAAACCGAAGTGAACGGAGAAGTTCATGGAGGTAGGCCTGGGCCCACTGGGGCTGTAGTGCCAAGGAGAAAAAAAAAACACATAACATATAGAAATGTGAAACTTTCACACATGGCAGTAAATAGACTAGTTTATTAGTAAATGTGTATCCCGTCAGGGTTAAGCCATCACCACTCGAGAATTTCCCAGCAAGAATAACCGGGTTTTAGGATGACAGCTTCTGGAAATAGGTTTATATGTCTAAAAATGTAACTAGTTCAAGAAGATGTAAGTGTAAATCGAAATCAGCAACAAAGTTATAATATATATATATATCTGCCAGTCTGCCTGTCCGTCCCGTCCTCTTTCACCCAAACTGCGCGTTGTAGAAGAAAATCGTAAACATAAAAGATGTTTACCCTGGCGAGAAAACCCAGATAAAGTTGTTAATCTTTCTCTTATCTGCAATGGTTTATTCTGGGACACTTTTCTTCCTCATTCTTTCCTGCATAAGAAGAAGAATTCGGACCGTGGCGACTAGTATGTTTACACTATGAAAAATGCGGTCTGCTGGGTTGTAACACCGTGTAGTTCGAGAAAGTTTTCTCTGAAGTGTCCAGCAGCACCCAGAAGCACGCGCTCTCCGTAGCCCCAAATACAACTAGGCTGTAGCGTCATGTATTTTAATTCTTGTTTTGAACAACTTACATAACTTATGTATATGCCGTCCCGAAGACAGCTAGGTCACTTCACTGCAAGAGGACAATGTTCTTTAAACGACTCACCCCGTAAGAACTGTTCTGAAGATCAGTAAAAATCAGGGACAACAAAAGTAATTTCGGAAATTGTAGTGCATATTTCTCTGCACGGATGCACCTCAGATATGTGTGTGTGTTTGTGTGCATGTCTGTATGAGAGCGACAGACAGAGTCTGACCGTGCCATAGCTCAGGCGGTTAATCGCTGGCTTCCCACCGCGGCGGCCCGGGTTCGATCCTGGGTCTGGTCAAGTGGGATTTGTGGTGGACAAAGTCGCGCTGGGGCAGGTTTTCTCCGAGTACTTCGGTTTCCCCTGCCAATCTTCATTCCACCAATTGCTCCACAATCACCCTCACCTATCATCTGGGGCTGGTACAATAGGCCAGAAGTGGCCGTAGTACAAGGGACTTAGTCCCACCCCACTAGCAATAAAAATGAAATATATCTGAGTGTGATGTAGTGCTTTCACAGTGAGTACAAATATATGCTTAGTCACACACAATTCCTGACATGTCAACCGGATATTGCGATAGTGACTTGCAGTAAATGACATAATTTATAAACGATTTATAATCATTTTAGAATGATGTCATAATTTACATATAACTCTTTTTAATCTTAATCAATAGGAAACCTAGCAGTGTACTGACTAATATCTACAATATAAGCAACAAGAATAGTATCTTTTCAGTTAATGTGTTCTAGAAAGATGATGAATTTCAAAGCCGAAACATTCCTTAGGTTAGTTATTTCATGACGCTGCCAGCAGTGAGAATGTTTATCGTCTATGATAGGAAGATGGCCGTGCCATATCTCAGGCGGTTAGTTGCCAGCATCCCACCGCGGCGGCCCGGGTTCGAGCCCAAATCAGGTCGTGTGGGATTTGTGGTGGACAAAGTAGCACTGGGGCTAGATTTTCCTGAGTACTTTCGTTTCCGCTTATAATTTTCATTTCTCCGACTGCTCCACATTCATCATCATCATCATCATCAACATCATCATCTACCATCCGGGGCTCGTACAATAAGCCAATTAGTGGCCAACGTACCAAGTGGACTCAGTCTCACCCCACCGCAAGAAATTAAAAGGAAGTGAGAGGAAAATTAATAAATGTGGAGCAGTTTGGCGGAAAGAAGAGTGACAGGGGAAACCCGAAGTACTCGAAGTAAAGGAGCATATATGCCACTTTGTCCATCACGAATTCTATACGACATGAGCTAGGATCGAGCCCTGGCTGAGGCGGTGGGAAGCCAACGACTAAACACGTGAGTTAGAGCATTGCCACAAATATGGGGGCCTCTATCAGTAACAACAAATATAGATTAAGACAATTTCTTTTCTACTGTTCTTATTTCTTATAATATATATAAATACAAACTTTCAAAATTTTAGAGAAGCAAATGTCTCAGTAAAATCTGTAAATTATATTTCTGTTTCGTGGAGGCCCCATAGCAACCCCCTCCCCCTTAAATCCGCTCCTGGAAACAAATTACTGCTGCCGATTAAGGTGACTGATAAAAGAAAATGTAATTAGGGCTATGCGGAATTATTAAAAATGTTCATTTTGTTAGCAACAAATTTAGATTATTATAATTTCTGTTGTTGCTCTTCGTATTTCTTAATGATAACTAAAAACACGAACAAAATCTTCGTGGTTTTAGATAAGTGAAGGTCTCAGCAAAATCTGTGGATGCTACTTCTGTTACTGTCGAGGCCCTAGGGGACTGTCCCACTCGCTTCCCCTTAAACCCTACCCTGTATTCTGTTCCATACAACATCGCGACCTCCTGTTCGATCCCGGGCCAACTTATCCATAAACATTTAGGCCTGACACTTTTCTAATTGTGCAGAGCAATTTGCAACCAGTAATTAAGGTGTCTATCGTGCGAACAGACAGCACCAACAGCCCCCACACCCGGAGGGACTCTTAGAGTGAACCCCACGTCAAACGCTACCTAATCTGCACTCTCTCAGCTCCTGAATTCATCCTAGAAATAACCGACTACGCCTAGTCCAGCCCTGAAACCTCCTGTAGATACAGACACTGTGTTAAGAGATGAGTATACTACCAAATCGTAAGCTTTTCATGTCCACAGAAACATTAATCTTCACAGATTCA